GATGAGCCCCTCACTCGGTAAATACCTGAATAAAAACCTTAGTCCCAAAGAGGCTAGTTAAAGTTTAAAAAAAAAAAAAAAAAAAAAGAGTAGAGAGAAAAGTTCAAAAAGATTTCATTATTTGAATTAATAGTAGAATTATTGCTATAAATAAAGTCAATAAGTAATTTAGGACTTTTTACTGCCAAGACTTTAATAAGATACATATAGTTAAATTTAAGTTCTCATTGATTGTTTAAGGCTGGTCTAATAACTTTGACAGGATAAGCATTGCTGAGGTATAGTCTAATAAAATTGAATAGTTGGCAAGCAATCAGTATATGAAATTTATTGTTTAGCTCCATAGATAGAGTAACTGGATATTTTTTGAACCAATCTATATCATTGGTTGTATCTTGCAAAGTTTGTTTTTGGGTTTGTTTTTGCTTTTGTCCACTAGTAAATTGATTTATATTGATTTTTTTAGTAAAGATTTTTTTATAAAGTTTAACTTTGTCCTTTGCAGAAATTAAAAAAAGTTTATAAAAAGCAATTATCTTTTTTTGAGTGAAGATGTTGGTTGAATAGGCTTGAGTTAAATATCAAGAAGTTGAGATAAACAAGTTCTATGAATTAAAGCATTTTTAAAGATGGTAGCAGCTATATAGTCTAAAGCAAAGAATATTTTTGACTTTACAAATAATACAAGTATGGTAGTAGTGTAAGTGAGCAATAATAGCTATAGGTGTGTAATCAGTTTAAAAGTTAAAAGGATGCATAGGTTGGCTTGAGATGAGTTGGAAGTGTCTAGAATTTTAGTAATAGGTAAAGTAAATAATTCATCAGTTTTTTAAAACTATTTCTGAGATTGTAGATCTAGTTTGTAGTTGTGATTGGGGTTGACCCATTGTTGTAAGATGATTGATTTTGTAGAATCAAGAAGTAAAACTTGTGTGGTATTTACTATACAAGCAAGTAAAAATTGCTAATTGTAAAAGAACTTTAAAGTAGTATTGTTGTTTTTTATCATTATAGTAATCAGGTTTTGTATCAACAGGAAGAACACAAAGTGATTGAGGCTTGCTTTTATTAAGTCCAACATCAAGACAGTTTTTGTATTTAGAATAGTAATAGTCAATATTATAAGAATCTGGTTCTTGAGAGTCTGCTAAAGTATGCAATTTGATATTAAGTTAAAATTTATCAAAGTTTTTTCTAGAGGTTTAAGTTCCTTTTTATCTACAAGTAGCAACTACTATCTACTTGGGTCTTTCTACTAGCACTAACCCAATCTAAATACAAAAACAAATATAAATGAATATTTAATTACAAGTTTATAACAAAAGAAAATTAGAAAACTTTACAAAACAAGTAAAATGTAATATGATTTAGCAATAAATATATTTCTAAATAAAGTAAATATAAAACTATTATTACTATAAAGTATTTATATAGTTACTTTATAAGTAATTATTTGTAGTATTAAGTTGCAAATTTGCAACTTTTAGTAATATTAGTTAAAAAAATAAAAATTAATTATAAATTAACTAAAAATTAACTAAAAATTAATTATTAATCAGTAGTTGATTGCTAAATTTTGGTTAAATTCAGATCAAATTAGCCAAAAAATTAATCTAAGTTTGATTCAAAAATGGTAAAAAACTAGTAGTTGATTTTAAAATTAGTAGTTAATTTTACTTATAGACAATCTATCTATTATTTAAAGAGGATCTGCAAATTTATATATAAATTTTAATATTGAAGATATTACATCTAAAACTTTTTTTTTATTAAGTAAATTATTCTTATGCTTATAATAAAAGTTGTAAAGCTCATCAAGATATATCTAATAGTAGTAAAAAATATTAAAATTGACTTAGTGGTTTTTAAAAAATCTTCAAAAAATAGTTTATTAACATAAAAAATTTTTTTAATAGTAGAAAGTACTATTTGTAAATTATATATAAAATCAGTTGTATTTTGTTTTATTTTTTTAAATTAAACAAAATTTTATTAAAAAACTATATTTATATTTCTAAATACAATTGTAGAGTAGGTTATCCTAATTCTAACAATAACAAAATTATTAAATTAGAATTAAAACTCGGTGAGATATAATTATTTAAAGTTTAAACAATGTTAATTGTTTACAAATATTATATAATATCAGCCAATCAGAACTAGGCATTTTGTACTGCCTAAAAAATTTTGAGCCATTCTAGACAAACTTTACAATATATACAAGTATGTTTTTTTAAATTAATAATGCCCTAAACATTTGACTATTTATAAATAGTGGTTTGTATCTACAAGCTACAAAATTTTGATAAAATTAATTGTGGCTTTAAAAAATTTTATCAGTGATACATTTTTGTTATCTATATAAAGTTCTAATCTACTATGCAAGTTATAAGAAAATAATTGACATTACACTCTAGTCTTAAAAAAATTTGATTTTTTTAAAGAAATTTTATATGTTGGTAAATGTTTTTTAAAGATTTCTTAAAAACTACTAGGCCAATTTTAATGTTTTTATTACTATTAGATGCACTTGATAAGCTCTACAATTTTATTATAAGTCTAAGAGTAATTTACTAAATAAGAAAAAAATTTTAGATGTAATATCTCCACATTTACTAATTGAAGAATTTATATATAATTTATATATAAATCTTGTGTAATCTGTATCATATAGCTTTTCAGATAACTAACAAATCATCTATTAATTTTAATATTTGATCTAAAAATAGATTCTAAATTTAGGCTAAATATTAGTATAAATTTAGAAACTAATTTTAAATTAAATACTAAAATTAAGTATTTAATTTATAATTAATCTAAAATTAATTATTAATTTTAAAAATAAGCCACCTGTTTTTTAGTATTTTTTAGATTAAACTTAGATCAATTTTTTTGGCTAATCTAATCTAATTTTATAGAGCTTGCTAAATTTGTAACTTTAATGTAACTAGTAATTAAAATTAGCTATAAAGTAGCTATATAGTTACTTTATAGTTGCTATAGTTTTATATTTACTTCAAGTTAGCAATATGCCTACTACTGCTTACTACTATTTTACTATTATTTTACTACTATATTACTATATTTTTACTACAATTTTATAAAAAAATAAAAATAAAAAAAGTTTTGAAACTGTTTTTTTATAAAATTGTAGTAAAAATATAGTAATGTAGTAATAAAATAATAGTAAAATAGTAGTAAGCAGTAGTAAGTATATTGCTAACTTAAAGTAAATATAAAACTATAGTTACTATAAAGTAATTATATAACTACTTTATAGCTAATTACAAGTTACATTAAAGTTATAAATTTGGCAAGTTCTGTAAAAAAATTTAACAAAATTTAGCAATTGATTAATAATTAATAATTAACCTTAGTTAATTTCTGATTGGTTTATGGTTAATTTATTTTTTGATTAATAAAAAGTGTATAAAAATATAGTTATTGTTTTATTATATAATTATTTATTTTAAATTTTTTAAAGCTATATAATATTCTATCTAAATTTAAAGCTTATTAGCTTTTATTAAATTTTACTTAAAATTTATTTAAACTTATACAATAATTAAATAAGTTTTATGAAGGTGTGATGACTTAGTTAAATAATTAGGTTGTCATTCCCATATGGCATATTTAGAGTTCAATTTCCACTTACAGTAAAAAATTGAATTCTTTGTATAATGACAAATCTTTTGTTTGTTGAGAAGAAACTTCTGTTATATCTGATTATACCTTATTAGAAAAAATATTCATTATACTATCAGGCTGATCTAAGAAAAATTCTAAGCATTTGTATAATATATGAGTTGCACAAAAAAGACACAAAACTGGTAAGATGGTATAGACTTATAATAAGTTCTTGAAATTGTGTTAATCTAATGAACAGCACTTGAAAACCTACTTAACAAACCCAAATAGAGATATAGCACAAACTTTTAATAGTAGCTACTAGAATAGGCTCTATCCAAGGCTAATGAACTGAATAAAGAAAAAGTACAAGCAAGTTACTTCACCAACCAGGCTACCAGGTTAATTAGAGGAAAAGACTAGTATTCCTTCTGGGCTATCTGAATTGGTAGTCTAAAGAGACCAGCTAAAAGTACTAAAAGAGAAGTTACCAGTGTCATGGTGATATACAGTATGCAATAAACTTGTATAAGAATGAAGGTAAAATGAATGAACGTTTATTGTCTTGTGTACGTAATACATGTAACAAGTATGTGATCGATTGGGATTAAAAGATCAAGTAAATAATAGCATAGTATTGCAAAATCAGTTATAGCGAGGTGACCAAGTGCTTGCTGTTTGAGCTAGATTGTTTGTAACAAAAGTCACTGATTAACCTGCGATATAAAAACCTGGGCAAATTACCATTAATCTTGCCAAATAATTGTATTAACTGTCTATAAAATAGACTTAGAATGGTAGTATGCAGATGATAGTGCAGAGAAAGAAGACATTGGTAAGAATGAAAATATAGTATTTGATGAAGATCTGAGCCTAATATATCAAGTTGTAAGACAAGTTTATTCAAATAGTTATGGGACAACATGAGTTGTGATGATTCTATGAAGGTAGAAAGTATAGAGGCAAAGTCAGTTAACATAATAAATAAATTGAGATGAAGAAGATAAAACAGATATGAGTGAATTAAAAATAGAGAACTTATCCAAAAGCCTTGATGAAGAAGAAAGCAGAAATGATGAAGTTTAAGCATTGAAATATTGACAAAAATCTGCTGATAAGGAAAATGTTAGTAGTAGAGATCATTGTAATGGTAAGAAAAATAAAATTATAAAGGATGAAAACAAAGCACTTATCTATCACCAAAATGCTAATATTACTGATAAGAACAAAAAAGAAATACTTGAGAAAGATTCAGATTGTGTTGAATGTGCATCAGAAAATTTTAAAATTAGATTATAATCGATTAAAATTATAAAATTATCATCAATTAATAGCACCCCTATCGAATATAAACGATTATGATTATTAACGATATATATCAAAATTTTGTAAATTATAATTAAACTTTGGCAATGATTTTCTTAATAACTAGTAATTAGAATTAGCTAAAATTTTTACTGAAGATAGTATTGATATTCCTCTACAATATATATAAATTTTATCTAAATTGATCAAGTAGTTTCTGAGTAATCATGTTTATACGATAGTTAATTTTTTAAAAAAATTAACTATCATATAGAAGCGATTACTCAAGAACTACTTGACCAATTCCAATAAAATTTAAATATAATATAGAGAAATAGCATTACTATCTCCAGTAAAAATTTTAGCTAATTCTAATACTAGTTATCGAGAAATCATTGTTAAAGTTTGATTATAATTACAAATTTTTTAATAATCGATATTAATCGATTAATGATTTATATCGGTATTAATCGATATATATCTATAATCGAATATAATCGATAGTGTTTCTAATCGATTAGTAACCCCTTTATTGATTATAATTGATTAAAATTAATCAATACTAATTGATTAATTTGATTATAATCGATATATATCCCCTCAAAAAATTTCCTTATGTAAAGAATTGGTTGGAGAACCTAAATTGAATGATGATCATAGATTAGTATTCGATGTGAAAAAGATAATTGATAGAAATAATGCATCTGATGTATATCATAATAAAGTTGGAGTTAAAAATAATGATAATAGGAATAAAGTTGCAGATAGTAGAGCTGAAATTGTTAGAAATAAAATAGGAAATGTCAAAGAAACATGTGATGAAAATATCAAAGATAAATACTGTCACAAATTTGAATTCCATAATGAAAAGTCTTGCTGTAATAAATATCTTGCTCATGTTTACAAATTGGTAATGTAAATTGAAAGGAATGAAAAGGGCAGGTTAGATATAAGGAACAGACCATATGAGTTAGAAGATAACAGAGTAAAAGGTAAAAATGTAAAAGTGAAAACCAATGTTGATAAAGAGGTAATGAATTGAGTAGAGACTGATTATGCAAATGATAAAGAAAAACAAAGATTGATAAAACTATTAAGAATAATGACAAGAGCTTAAAGAAAAGAAAGAATGTAGAAAAGATGAACACTTACTCGAAATCTGAATTAGAAGAATATTCGATTGTGGAAGAGTCTTGATAAAGAACTTGTAGAGAATTATAAGACTGTGAAGATTAGTTTTGCAAATAATGTTGGAGAATAGATCCTGATTATGTTGAAAACTCTGAGGACAAAGTTAGCTTGTGTCATGATGATATACAGTATGCAATAAACTTGTATGAAAATGAAGATAAAATAAACAAACGATCATAGTTTTGTACACGTGATGCACGTGACAAGTATGTGATCGATCAAGATTAAGAGATCAAGTAATGATCAATTATACAATCAAAGTAGTATGCATGAAATATGAAGTAATTTATTGGTAATATAAGAGTCAAACAATTGTATAATTGTATATGAATGAATTATGATGTAAGTAATGTGACCCAAAAGTATGTATATAGAAGCAAAACAAATATAATAGTAGTTAGTTGGTTGGTTAGAGTTAGTCTCGCTTATAATTAATAAACATAAAAATATTTGCCTTAGTACATAATAGTATTGTCTTGTAAAATCGGTTATAGCAAGGTAACCAAGTGCTTGCCGTTTTAGCTAGGTTGTTTGTGACGAAAGTCACTGATTAACCTGCAACACCAGCTTGTCTTGAAAGAAGAGTACTAGAGTTTGAATAAACTTTACAAGAGCCCAGAGTTTGATGGTGTGGTCTACTTATAAAGACTTAAAACCTATTTGGCAAACTTATCTGCGGAAGAAATTAATGGTGTGTCCTGCTTGTAAAGATATAAACCTATCTGATAATGCCTATCTGTAAAAGACTAGGTCATATATTAAAAGTAGATAACAGACAGCTCTAATAGGCAATACACTTGAGGATAAATCAAATAATCATGCTGATAGTTCTATAGATAAGAATATAATGATCTTAGAACTTAAACTAATATATCATATGTTCTAGGTAAGGTTAGATGAATTGGTATAAGAAACTCAGATCAGAGTATTTAAATGGTGATTTACAGATGAATCTCAGGTACGGCATGTAGTGGATAACTATAGCTAGTAATAGATATAGTAAAGTTCTTAAATAGGCAATGACTAAAGTTGTATGTGTAACCAAATAAACTCTTGTCAGAATGTACTTGTTTGAGGCCCCTTGATAAGAACACCAAATGATTCTACAATCTAATAAAAGTGACAAGCCGAAGAGGTTAACCTTGACTGCAAAAAAAAAATTTAAATTTTATATAAAATTTAATATTATATAAAAATATTATCTAAATTTTGTATTTATTAATTTTATATAGTTTAAATAAGAGAGTGATATTTATATCCCTATTTTTGATATCAGTACCCCTATTAAACAAAAAGTGCTTTAAAATAGATATTATTATTAAGTAAACCTCTTTAGCAGTCTTAAGTAAAATCGATCTTTACTTTTTTTGAATCTAATAGCAGCAAAATTGGTTTGATAGTTCTTATTTAAAGTTAACTAATATTTGCTAAATTTAAATATAAATGCCTCAAGAATTTTTAAACCAAATTTAATGATTTTACTATAATTCGAATTAAAAAATCTAAAGAACATCTTAGCTTAAACTACTAAGAGGTTTACTTAATAACAATTTTGTTCTAAAGTATTTTTTGTTTAATGAGGTACGAATATCAAAAATAGTGGTATAAATATCAATTCCCTTAAATAAATGTTATTGAAAATGTTTGTATTATATATATTTATCTATTTATATAAAACTAATAGCTATATAAGTCAATATTGGGTTTGTAAATTGATATATAATTTAAAATAAAATTTACAAAAAATTTTATATAAATTTACATAAAAGCAACTTTCTAAAGAATGACAGGGGTAAAATCGTTACCCAAAAATTTAAACATCATGTGAAAAATATGTCGGGTTGTCGAGCACCAAAACTTGAATAAAAAAATACAAATGAAAAATTTATAGACTAAATAAGCAATTTTGTTTATTTCGAATAAACGTAATGTTTATTACAGCCAGAAGTATTATGATTAAGGATGGGACAATGAACAGGCGGAATATTTGGAAGTCGGAATATATCGGAATTTATCAATTCTGGCCCACATTGGCAGTAAATTACAATAATGCAGGCCTGCGCAATAGATTTAAAAAATCCTCGATTTCCCATCCCTAATTATGATTGCGGTTTTTTAATATTCCATCGTCAATTTAAAATGATTATAATCCTCCTCCAATTTATGCAATGTCTCAAAGTTTTTATTAATACTATCCTGCCATTTGTTACCATTTGGATTCATTATATTTTCTTCAATAATTTTTTTTTGTTGCTTTCTTGGTTCAGAATTATAAAAGCTTATTGCTCAAATAAATAAACAGAGTTATAGTCTTCCAAAAGAGCATTCAACATAAAGTCTAAAAGGTTTTCTGGTGCAATTACATTTTCTTGATTATTTTTTATAATTTTATAAATATTATCATGATCCTAATCATGATAAAGTGACAATATCACTTAATTTTCTAATCTTTTTGGGTGGCGATTTTACCCCGTCATGAAGGTCCCGAACCAAAATTGTAGCTGGTGCTTGATCGGGTTTGGTTCGGGTCTGCGGAACACTTTAGTATGAGGAATGTCAAAATTTGAGTTACCGACGATATTTTGAACAGCCCTCTATTCCACCTTACACAAAGATTGTACCTGACTTTACGATATACATAGAAAATTTCATTTTGGTGGATGGTTAAATCAAGGTGTGTTTATGTAATTTTAATTATTTGATTAAAACTAGGGTAAGGGTTGGTTAGAAGTATAGTTGTGACCCGAAACCTTTCCGAAACCTTCAAATTAGAATGTTAAAAGTTAATACTCATTTGCTATAAAGTAACTAAAAAAACTCTTGGAATGCAATCTATTTATCATATACTTTAAGTTTTAAAGTTTAAATCTAAATTTCTAAGCTTTTCATTATAGTGTTCGAGTTTCGGGAAAGGTTTCGGGTTTCGGGTTTCGGGTTTCGGTTTCGGGTTTCAGGCCACAACTATAGTTAGAAGTTAGAGTTAGGGAAAGTTTATCAGTAAAATTGTCTGCCCGACATTTTTAGTAGTGCTCAGTTGAGAATCGCTTTTTGTATATCTTGCATTTTTCACTTTTTTTCTTTTTGTCTCGTCAGGTTGGTTCGGGTTAGTCATAATTTATGGCTTGATTGGTCAATTTTTTGAATATTTTATGTTCTGCTTCTTTAACACCCACAGGGATATTTACAAGCGTTCCAAAGTTGCGAGCATTCTGAACATGATAATGGTCACGTGATAGAACATTGCTTTAGACGATCGATCACCTTTTTTTGGTTACTATTACATGACTATCCCTGCCTTATAGTTATTGTTTATTTGGGTAGATCATAATGTGACCTTTTTGCGAACCAGTCAGCGCTCAGAAACCTTTCATTCAATATTTTTATTCGTACACATATTACACCATGCTTCACATGTTTTGACTCATTAATGTGCATATGCTCGTAATTAATAATTATCACTTTGAATTAAATTAGTTATATGTAAATATTTATTTAATAATTTTCATTTGACCGACAGGTGCAAGTCATTTAACAGACATAAAATCACGAGACAATTTACTAACTATGTTAAATTGTCATGTTGTATGATGTCGACTATCATGAAAAGAGCAGCACGCGAGTAAAATAATTTGAATTTCCTGTTTTGGATATAGCAGATCATAATGATTTAAGATTAAAAAACAAAGATTTACTTGGGGTCAAAAAAAAAAAAAAAAAAAAAAAAAAACGAAGATTTAATTTCTTTTTAAGCATCTGAAATAATGTTACACAAAAAGATCCGAACGAATCCGGATCTTTAATGGGCATGAAAGTAGCATTTACAAAGGGTACTCGAACTAAAACTGTACATATAATTAATATGGAAAATGCACTACCTCCAACAGGCACCACTTGTCTCTCACGTGTACCTGGAGCCAATAGCAGGTTTTCAACCTCACTGCATAACCGGATCCGGATTCGAATTGACGATCTTTGAAGATCTGCTGCTAGCGATAGACGCCTGAGAGAGATAAATGGCGACTGTTTCGGTAGTGTGCTTTCTATATTAATTATATTTGTAGTTTCAGTTCTGATACCCTTGATGAAATGGGACATTTGTATCCATTAAAAATATCGGATCCGTTCGGATCTTTTTTGCGGAACACTAATTTGAAACTCTACACTTTTATTAAAAATCCTGGTCCTAAATTCTCAAAAACGTAGTCTGAAAAATTCAACGGGTTCAATATATGTTGTGCATCAGGCTCAAATTGAAATTTGCGTGACCAAAATTTAAACGCAGAGTTTAAAGTGATGCCTAGAGATGGGCAATGTAATTTATTTATTACATTTAAAATTATGTAAATTTATTTACTCCACGCGACAAATTAATATGTTATTAGTTGTAAGTATATATGTTTAGTAAATTGTAGCATAGGTGATTTACCTTTTACGCAATGAGTAAATTATCTATTGGTGCTAATATTTTGTATTAACGGAATTATAATGATTTAATCCAATACGTACTCGTATTCACTAGCAGTGTTGTCTATGACCTATTATGACTTATTGCTAATTATAGATTATGACCTTATGACCTGCTATAACTTATAAAATTTCTATTACATTATGACCATTTTGGTCACATAGAGTTGAATATGACCTAAAATGGCCAACACTGTTCACTAGGATGCTAAAATACAACGGTGGCCAGGGTCACATTATGACGTAACAACGCTGTGAATAAATCAGCGATTATCATTAATAACATGACCAAAAACATGATTATTGTATATTTCTAACGTAAACACTAGCCATTTTCATCATGTTATTGGGTTATTTTTAATACGTATACATAAATTTCGTTCATCT